TGCCCGGAGGCATGGGCTTGGGTGTCACCAATATGCGGACAACGGAGAGCACTGCGTTTAGGGGCGCAAAGCCAGTTGGCCCTTCCAGGCCCCAGGGATGTCAGATTGGCTGCAACCAGAGCCAGGACCTTCTCGGTGGGGGCTCCACTTTGGTGGAATGAGCTCCCGGAAGAGATCAGGGCCCTGTGGGACCTTTTACAGTTCTGCAGGGCCTGTAAAACGGAGCTCTTCCACCTAGCATTTCACTAGGAGCCGCACCATACACTGAGGAGTGTCCCTGTGCCCTGGTTTGCCATCTTTGCTGCCAACCTGTGCCCTGGGTCTTACCATCGTGTCCTCAGCCATACTTGCTGTATACCAATGAGAACTGAGCTACTGTGTAAGAATAGCCATTCAACAATCACCCAAGTTACATCATAAAGAACTGTTGCTCTTTACTTGATATGTTCCAGCTTTTTATATGTTTTAAATGATTGTTAATTTTAAGTTATTTATATGTTTGCTGATGTTTTAACTGTATCTGTTTTTATGAAGCCTAGAAACAGCTAGAAAGCTTGGGATTTTTCTCCGTGACTGACCTACATGTGAGTAGTCCCCATGTATGCTTGCACAGAAGACCACTTAACGAACAACAGTTACAGGTTTAATTTTTTTGATTGGTTTCAGGCATCCTTTCTGCCTTTTACAGAGGTTGGTTTGGGTATATGGTTAAGAACAGGCAAGGATGGTGATTTTTGGTGCCCTTTTTGGTCCATTTCAGCTCTAGTTTTAAGAACATAAGAGAAGCCAATGCTGGATCAGGCCAATGGCCCATCCAGTCCAACACTATGACATTCTGCAAAAGCAGTTGTTGCGCCCTCAATCTCCTGTTTGACCCGCACGTTCCCCTAATTTCGCCTGCGTCTTCTTGATCCTAAACAATAAGGATCAAGAAGACGGGGAAATCGAGGGGAGATGCAGGTCAAAATGCAGCTGTGCAGCAAATAGTGGAAAATTGAGCAGTACAACTAGGGGAAACGGGAGACTGAGGATGCAACAACTGCTTTGTGGAATCGGTCTCTGTTGCACAATGGCCAAAAATGACATGTGCCATCAGGAGGCCCACCAGTGGGGCCAGGACACTGATGACAGAAAATGCGTTTTGTGAATGCAGGGCCAGCTGATCTATCATTCAATAGCTCAATGCAGTGGGGAAAATTAAATTTATAATTCAAACTCTATACAAATGTGTATGGAATTACTCTGTGTAAGAGAGAGAGCATGAACCAATATTGTTACTCTGTTGTACTACACCATTGGTGAACAGAGTCCTTTCCCTTTCCCTTTTTTCATATAGGTTCATGTAAATCAAGATCTGAATGGCTATCAATCTTTTTCATGTTTTAGGCATTTGCCAAATATCCATAGAATGCTTTGATATTTTAACATAAAACAAGACATGCTGTGGTTCAAATCTATTCAAAATCCATTACCTCTAAGCTTCTACACTGTATGTTTGTTGGGCTCAATAAAATATTTTGCATGGCTTTTGCTTTTGGCTTTTGCTATGAACCAAAGAGGCTACCTTTATCTTCTCTCTTGCAAATAATCAGAATTTAGCCAACAAAGAGAGGGATTCTCCAGGTGGAAGAGAAAGATCTTGTGAAAACTGAGTATTCCAATTTGGTTGCCTTTGACTCAATACTTAGTGCATCAAGTAAAAGTAATCTCTACTGTTGTTAGTGTAAGGATTATGACATTTGATCTAGGCCTTTTAAGCGACCCGTCTGCTCTGTCTGACATCACTGAGATATTTTATTAATTACTGGCTTTTATATTTTTTAGTTGGATGCCTTTCAGACCCCCCCCCCCCCGACTGCCATGGCTAGAACCTGTACTCACTGAAATGAGATAAGCATTCTGCTCAAGATTCAGACAATGCTCATGAGCTCCAAAATCTTGTTGTGCCCCTCCCCTTTTTGTTTTTTAACATCCAACCTTATGAAGAGTTCTGGAGAACTTGAAGGCTTACATGCTATGTTGTGTTATTTTGGTTGGTCTTGATAAAGGTATCACATGACTTTTGCTTTTGAATTTTGCTATGGACCAACATGGCTACCTACCTTTTTAAACTTCTAATAACCCTGCTCTGAATGTACTCAGAAGTGCCCTCATCTTCAGACATCTTACAGATATTAAAATTCCAGTCTTTCACTTGCTTCTAGCAGATGGCAACATAGGTGAAAACTGAACAGCAACATCAATTTATATATTAACTATATGACTTGGCCACATTAATTTAGTAGAAGGATGCACTGTTCCTTCCCTGTTCAGTCTGTGTACTCCCATCCTGTATATTTTTGTGTATTATACCTGCAGAGCTGAAGTAGCAGGGTAAGGAAAAGACATTTGCAGAGGCTGAGGCAGAGTCATTAGACTTCATTAGTGGAAAATATCCATGCAAGTGGGCTGAAAGTCTGAGCTCTGGTTGTTTTATAGCAGAGGTAACGTGAAAAGTTTCAGAACATCCGAATATTATCTACAGGAACACAGAAAAAAGAGAGAGTGCCATCAATTGAAAGTCTCTGGAAAGATCTGCTATGGATTCTTTAATGGAATTTGCTTTAATTTACTACTGCAGATTTTGGCACAGCCTCTAGATGGCACCATAAGGCTTTGAGTAGAAAGCAATTTTGTGCAAAAACCCCCCCCCCCAGCAGGAAGTTGAGCTGTTTTATTTACTCAGTAGACCTTCAGTCTAATTCTTATGCAGTTTTAATGGCTGATGCCCCATGGAAAAAGCAATACGTAGTGACTGGTCTGTATTTGGGGAGGGGAAAAAGATGCTCAAACAGCTCATCTCACATTTTATACACAATTTTTCTAACATTGGAATGAATGTTGAAAGTCCACCCCCCCTTTCTCTTACCATTAAACACAATGGTTGCCTGGAATCGAAATGAGCAGTGGCCACAGGACTGAAGGTGGTGGTGGTGGTGGGGAGACAGCAGCAGAGCAGGTAAAAGTGATGTACAATTCGACTGAGCAAGGAGGCCCTCCCTTCCCAGGCTCCCATTGCTCTTCTGGCTCATAATGGGGACACTGATTAAATGCCCCCTGCAGGCCTTCATCATGAAAATGGTCTGTCCTGTAACTGCAGGGCATGTAATCTTGAAGGACCAGAGAAAGACAATTCACCAGAAACAATTTGCATTCTACCATCATGTTACAAAACTGTCACACAGATATTGATCTCATTGCAATTTGCTGAAAAACCTGATTGCTTTGCTAATATAGGGAAACAGTGGCTTATGTCTGTCTTTGTGAATGAGGGGCTTACTGCTATCCCCTCATAAATGTAGCACATTTAGATGTAAAATGTTTCTGGACTTGTTTCCATTTGTTTCTGTTTCAGAGTCATTTATTGTTACTGATCTTCCAAATCTGCTCTTGCTAAACAATTTATGTACAAGAATACAACTGATGTATGCAGCAAATTGCTTGAAAATCATGGGTTTGTATATTACACTCTATTTCCAATTATGAAAGGACACTTCGTGTGTGTGTGTGTGTGTGTGTGTGTGTGTGTGTGTGTGTGTGTGGTGATTTCTGCAGATTCCTCCTCATTGTTCCCCCTTTGCCTCCTGTGCTATGGGTGAGCTCTTCTGACTTACAGGAATAACATTTCAGGGGCTCAGTGGGCTACAGTGGGAAGAGAAGGGGCAAAGTCCTGCTCTATGAGCTCTGCCCTGTACACAGCTGTTTTAGAATATGAATTATGGTGTTTGGTTTGATTTAAAATCTGGCTTCCTGTCATGGCCCTTTTATTCTGAGAAAGAACATGTTGTAAGCAACGTTCCCTCCAAGCTGTGGGGTCTTGTGAGCAAAACTTCTACTTTGTGAGCTACTGGCATTAACTTGTGAGCGAGCAATTTGGCTACTCCATAGATTAGTCTGCTCTGGAGCCATCCTTCCTGAGCTAAGATAAAAATCTGAGCTGGAGGCTAAAAAACTGAGCTAGCTCTCACCACCTCAGCTTAGAGGGAACACTGGTTGTAAGCTGCTTTAAGTCCCCATTGGGGAGAAGTGGAGTAATAAAGACCCCTGGTTTGAAGTGAATTAAGGGATAATCTTCTCCTGACACGTCAAAGGTATGGGCTGGGTTTTGAATCCAAGACTCTGTTTTGAGGATCAGTGGTCTGACTATCAAGCAGCTTCATGTGGAAAGAAGGTGAATCAATAGAATAACATGTTTCATAAAATCTGCCCTCCTACCAAAGAATATTGAAAGGTCCAGGCAAACAGGTTTGGGTGCCCCAGAACAGATTGCTGCGTACTGTGATTACATGATAATGCTCACTGTGTACAAATTTCAGCACAGTAAATTCAGAAACAGCTTTCCCCTTTGCTTTACATAAAGAAATGAGCTAACCTCTATAATAAATTCTTAAGCCCTAAGTATTTATTTTGGCCTCTTTAGCAGCTAAGACCCCATTTTTCATTTTGTCCCCTAAAACCAGCGTGAAATAATCACCAGTTATTTGGGCCGACCGAATCACATACCCCGATGGTCTCTCCCCTCCCCAGACTCAAATCACACTGATATAATTAGACAAAATCCCACCAGCCACTGGGTATTCCCACCAAAGGGACATACCAGAGGGATGAAATGACACATTGTCCATACAAGCAAATATTTCAGTTGTGGCAGCTGAAGTTAATTCAGGAGTTGTTATCCTCAGACAAGAGGTCCAGCATTGAGGCCCCAGCAAAGATTAGCTTGCTCCTCACTGCCATTAGGTTGCAGCTCCTGACCTAGAGGTTATTCATGCTGCCTAGCTAATTATGGAACTGCAGAACTTCCTCTCTCCTTTGGTGCTCAAATGATTCTGGCAGGAAAGTGGTTAATACTCAAAGCCAGCCTCACTGGAGCAGCCTCTTTCCTCCAAGTGTAGCCATCTGGATTCAATAAAAACTAGCAAAGGAGAGCCTGTGTTCCACTCCCCTCTTTTTATGAAGAAACTGTCAAAACATTCCAATGGTGTGAGCTAGAATCCGGTGCAGAGATCGCTAGCAAAGCGCAAGACCCCAGGTACAGTCATGGCTCCCCAAAATGCCTTTTTTCTGCTGGTTATCCTGGCTGATGCTATCCACGGGCAACAACAACAACAGTTAATGGAGTACGTGGAAAGAAGGCTGTCTGTCTTAGAGGTGAGAACATGAGACTAGAATGGCAAATGATGCACCCTGCTCTGGATCTGATGCACACAGTGCTAGGAGAGTTCAATTCTGCTGTTGTGGATGCTGGGTCTGGGGTTACTTGCGGCAGCCAGATAGAAGAAACAGTGTCTAACTGGGGACTGATTTCAAGGATGCAGGGGTTTGAAAATGATTCTTGACCTAAAGTTTAAGCTAAGGAGCTGAGCTATAACAGAGTCATACCCACCCTTCACCCACAAGCGTTGGCGGGTTGAGAGGCTGGGGTAGATAATGGGGAAGTTTCTGGCTGCCCTGTTGGTGTAGTTTGTCTTTACAGTGAGTTCAAGACATTCTGAGATAATTTTGCCAGCCTTGTTCTTTAGCATTTCATGGCTCTATAGAATCCCTCATTTAAGAACCCAATAGGTGCACAGCTTTCTATTAAAATATTTGCTATTATATCTTTATTTGATAATGCTACAATGGCTACTGAGTATTAGTGGCTGGATCCAAAACACCAACTGGGAGGATAAAAAAGGCTGTCAAGGCTCTCTAATTTCTGCAGTCATTCAAGAAGACGTTTTTGCTTCCCATTCTCTCCTCAGGAGCGGATCTCCCAGTGGCACGATCAGAGTAGTCGTTACTCCAGTGAGCTGAGGGATTTTAAAAACAAAGTGTTGTCCATGCTGGAATCAGTGGAGAAAGAACGGGAAACGATCCGGGCAGAGGTAGAGAACACAGCCGTGCGCGTGGATCGGCTGGAGCGTGAGGTGGACTACCTTGAAACCCAAAATCCTGCTCCATCTTGTGTGGAGGTAGATGAGAAGCTCATGGAAAATCAGGTCTCCACTGGCAAAAAGCGCAAGAATGAGAAGTATGAGAAACTGACAGGTGAGAGGAGGTCCTCACAGCTAGAACAGGATGACAAATATGCTTCTGCAAGGCAGCTGCAACACATTCCCACAAGTCTCTGACATAATCCATATGTGCTGTGTCTGGTCTTTGTGAGATAAATATGTGTGTACAGGCCTAGCTGCAAATGCAATTGTCTTGCTTTGGGGAGGGGGGACAGCCATGTACTTATGTGCCTTGTTTTAAAAGTCTAAATGTGCAGTCTAGATAGACTTTGGGGAATGCATCCTGACCACTTTCTTTTTTGACCTAAAGAGTTAATGATTGAAAACTGGCAAGGCTATTAAAATTGGCAATATGAAATTGATGAGGGCCAGTTACCAAAGAAAAAAGCAAGATAGCTCAGAGCCCCTCAATATTTATTTAACAGTTTTATACCACTTTCACATGATTCTCAAAGTGGTTTCCAAATATAAACCAGTTTCAAACAAAAATTTGTTTGAAACTGGTTTATATTTGGAAACCACTTTGAGAATCATGTGAAAGTGGTATAAAACTCTTAACAATCATTAAACATTAGACTTAATCAAAACAATTCAAGTAAAAGCTCAAGTTAACAGCACTGCCTTACACAGCTATCTGAACTGTGTGAGAGAGGAGGTGGCTTTATTTCAACTGTCATTACAAAGACAGGGCAGCTTTTTTGTTGTTGTTCAGACGCACAGTTGAGTCCAACTCTTCGCAACCCCATGGACCAGATCACGCCAGGCCTTACTGTCTTCCGCCGTCCTCTGAAGTTTGCTCAATTTCATGTTCGTTGCATCTATGACACTGTCTAACCATCTCACCCTTTGCCGTCCCCGTCTTCTTTGACCTTCAATCTTTCCCAGCATCAGGGTCTTTTTCAGTGAATGCTCCCTTCTCATTTGGTGGCCAAAGTATTTGAGCTTCAGTTTCATTATTTGGCCTTCCAGGGAACAGTCAGGGTTGATTTCTTTTAGGATTGACTGATTTGCTACTGGATGCTAAACCAAACATTACACAGTCCACAACCTATGGGTGCTGCCATCGTTTTAGAGGTAAACATGAGCCATTTAAAAATGCTACAAGGGTGCACAGATTAGGTGATCTTGTCCCCTTGCAGCTTTTAAAGTGCCAAAACAGGTCCCTGTGGCTGTTTCAGCAATTTAAAAGGTATGGGGGGAGGGGAAGATTGCCTCATCCCACTGTACTGTGGGCCCAATCAGGGATGGTTCCTCGCAGCATTTTTAAATGGCTTGAATTTACCTCTGCAATAGTGGTGGCAGTGGATGCTATAGCATCTGGTTTGATCCTGAGAACACTCTTACCTGGACAGCTGCAGTTCTCACCTCTTTTAGGGAGCATTTTAAAATCCATCCTGGCTCATGTGGGGAGAGATGATCCCTCAAGTATGTGAGACCCAGACAGTAACAGGCTTCAAAGGTCAAAAACACCACCTTCAACTGAGTTTGGAAGCAAACTAGATGATGTAGTAGAAAAGAGCAAGAGTTCAGTAGCACCTTAAAGACTAACAAAATAAAAAAAATTGTCACAAATTGTTGTTAGCCTTTAAGGTGCTACTGGACTCTTGCTCTTTTCTACTGCTACAGACAGACTAGCGTGGCTACCCATCTTGACCTATGTATATGATGTAATATTGCTGTCGTATGACTAGTCCTACTGACTCCTGTCAGTAGATGAGCTGCTACATTCTGGTCCATATGGAGTGTCTGAGTCATCTTCAAGGGCATTCCCAGACAATGTGCATTACAGTGATCTATCCTCAGTGTTACAATAGCATGGATCAGTGTAACTAGATTAGGTGAGTCCACCCTGCATCATTTTCCTAACCCAAAATGTCCCCAGTGGGGTCATTATTTGCCCCATCAGAAGTCTGTGTTTGCTCTGAATATGTGTACTTGCAGCCACACTATGAGGCAAATAGCTCCCCCAGTCCATTAGATTTTGGGGAAACGGACGGAGTCTTCTGTTGCCTGCTAGCTCCTGAGGAGAATTGGGCAGGAAGTGTGTCCAACAAAACATTTCAATGTCCTCTTCAGTCAGCAGTAATTGCACTGCTGTCCTGCTCTGTCAACTACTGAAACCGGGAATGGCAGGACTATAGATATTAAGAAAGGCTTAGATATCAGTCACTAAAGCTAAGCTGCACATTGCCAAGAAAAGAAAAAAACAGTTTGCCAGAAATAAATCAGAAACAACTCACTGTTGTTTAGGATGTTTTGTAAACAAGCAAGCTTGGACTCAGCTGCTCAGTGAGTATCTGGATCTCATTTAAGCTGTCCAGGGCCAGGTTTGATAAAGAATATATAAAGTATATATTGCCAAATGGTGCATTTTACAGTTTTGGATGTAAATGAATAACAAACATATGAAGCTACTTTATGCCATTGGTCCATCTATCTTAGGGCTGCCACTGCCAGCCTCCAGGTGGGACCTGGGGATCCCCTGGAATTACAGCTCATCTCTAGACTACAGAAATCAGTCCCCCTGGAGAAAATGGATGCGTTGGAGGGTAGACTCTATGGCAATGTACCCCACAGAGTACAGATAGTGGTACTAGTTATTTTGGGCTTCTCCATGAGAGCATGGGGACTTTAGTCTTAGCTGCAATGGCTGATAGCCATGGAGAGACCTATTGTCCATTATCTTGATCCAGTGACAAGAGTGCCATATATGGATCTACTGTGATGGGAGCACAACTCCCTATCTTCCCCTCCTAAATTGTGAACCTTAAGGAAGGGGTTTGTATGATTTTACATCTGTACAATGCCTTGGATATTGTAAGTCCTTTTATAATTAATAAATTATGATGGTGAACAGGGAAAATTAAAACCCTGCAACCATCTGTATCTACTCAGGTACCCAGGAGAGCTTTGTGGGGAAGGTGAGCAGTCTTAAAGACCATGGGGAGAGTTCTGGAGCAGAGCGCAACCATTTCTTTTCTCTTGAATTAACATAGTTGGTTGGAGTACACTTTTCAGAGGCATCACTCCAAGCAAGGGAATACACGATAAACACTACCTTTTTTTTTTTCTCAGCATGGATGCAAACTAAAAAAGGAATATTAGTAATTTAATCCTCACTGAGGTGGCCATGCAAATAGAACATAAGCGGAACACTTTACTGCTGGAGCTAATGTGACTGTAAACGACAGCTCTTTGAAAGTTGAGCAGCAGACATATTCATGACAGGCATTTCTGAGACTTCTAGAAATCTGGGCAGGGGGGTGGGTGGGAAGTCCAGCAGATTCTGAACAAAGCAGACATTTTGTCATTTATAGGTTACATCCAAACTAGATTGGCCATTTCCACTGATGCCCTCTTCTTGTTGTGCCTGAGTAGCCTCCTATCCCAACAAGAACAGCATTCTAAATAGGCTGTAGTGGGTGGAGGACGCAGGAAAATTCCATTTCATTCATGAAAATTTAGTGTGAATCCAACTCTGTGATTTGCTCACCTGACTGTACTGCATTCAGACCTCATGCTAAACTACGGGTTATAAACCACCATTTGATTAAACTCCATTTTAGTACACCGTTGATTTGCAGGCTTCCCAAGAAGCAGTGAGTAGTTGGTGGAAGCTCAGCTGGCATTCTGACTTTTTAAACAATGGTTAGTAGAAGAAGAGATGTTTTACATCCCAGTTCAGAAGACCGAGTTTTGTTTGTTTGGCTAATGTTTGTCACACAGAGCAGCAGAATGATGTAGCTGCTCCAGTGGCATGCGGCTATGATAACGTTTTCTCAGGGCATACCCTCCCTTCATCTGCCTGCTCTGTGTCCTCCTTCCCATAACCACCAATGCCTGGGCCACTGGAATCCAGCCCAAATGTCTGGCCTTACCTGGAGGGCGGAAGATTAGCTAGGAGAGGAGGTGGTCAAGCCTAGCACCTAGACACAGGGAGAGTGATGTTGGGTGGGGTTTAGAGGGTAACCATGGAGGTGCGGTGCTGTGGTCTCTAGGCCAGTGGAGGCCAGCAGATGGTAGGGGGACTGAGAAGAAGAGGAAATTGAACCTGGAGGAAGAAGGAAAGGAGGGGGAAGAAAGAGGCCTATTGGAGGCCACAGTGTGAGAGCCAGGCTTGAGCAGCATGGGTCCTGCCCCTCTGAGGGGCTGTAAATGCTGAGTGGGTGGTATTATTGTCAAATCTCTGGTGTGTAAGAAGCTCTAAAAACATACAGGACAGCATATGGTGGACTTCTCCTGAGGTTGCTTTCATGAATGGACCCCTGGTATGGCATTCCGCCGCCTCTGCGAGTTCCATGCTCGTCAACAGACATACCTTCCTCCCCATAAAGAAAAAATCCCCTTAAAAATCCACCTTTGGATCCCAGGAGACAGCAAGAAAGTGAGTGACCTGGCTATGAACATATGTTTCTTCTCAAGTGTTCATTTAATTTCTGAGAGAAAGCAAATTTAGGGAATGTAGTAAAATAGCAAGAGAAAAGGGGGAAAGGCTGTAAAAGCTTTATTTTCGTTCAGAGCAAAAAAAAAAGTTTAGGGAATGAAGATTGAAAAGAGGAGAGGTGGCTGATAATTAGTTTAACTGAAAGTAGAAGATCTCTGAAGGGATCAAAAGATCTCTTGCCCTAGACTTCTCTGTCCTTTCCTTGCCCTTTGATTTTAGATGATACATAATGAGCAGACTGCATAGGAAGTAGTGTTTTGCCACACAGTACAACAGAGTTCAGGACAGCATTCTGTGATTCTGCTTGAGGGGAAAAAGGAGTCTAGCAAAAGAATAACGGGTTTACAAGCACTGCGGTCTGCTATGTTTGGTAGACTAAGACCATTTCCACACATGTGCAAACCGCCACATTGGCATTCTTAAATCATCAATGTTTATAAAACTTTCTGCACAATTTTTGGCTGCTCCAGGAGTAGCTTCGAATTTACTGCCCATTACCCCATGTTTTCTGGATTCACTTTTCCTGTGATTTTTCCCTCTTCACAGTTTTCAAGAGTGGAATTCCCGAAATTGAATTTTGTTTCCCACCACACTTTTGTGGCATCAGTGTCACGTCTGTGTACACCCCATCCCTGGCTACAACACTCCCAAGTTCCACAAACAACAAACTGGGTTTTTTTAAGGATAGTTTTGATAGTGTTAAAATGCTGATTTTTAAAAAACGTAATAATATCACTGCATTATAACTCAGAGACAAAATGGTGAGGTTTAATGTACCTTTCTCCATACAACTACCTATCCATGAGATTTCTTTCTTTTTTTGTGTGTGTTGGTAGGTTCTGTTGCCACGCGCTTGTATTATTTCTTCATTCTCACTGTTATGAATTGGTGTATCCAGTTCCATGATCACTAGCCATGGTGGCAAACATGCTGTTCCCCACAATACATCCAGCCTTTTTTAAAAAAAAAACTATGTTATGATGTTATAACATTACTGCACATGCACACAAAAAAAGAGGAGATTCTGGTGCTGACAAAGTACATGATGACACAGATGCACAACCCATTTTAAAGAAAAGTGTGGAACACATGGGGAGGGTTGGATCCAAATTCAAGAAAAAAATTCCCCGAAATCAATGCCCTTTTGCATCATTATCCGGCCACAAAGCCGGAGTACCAGCTGGGGATTCTACTCTCTGGGAAACAGTGGCAACACTGAAGTGCAGAAGAGGTCTAAGTAGTGTTTGTGCAACAAACTGCAATTTAAACTATCTTTTATTGTAGAGGTTTATTCATGGTATGAGCTTGTTATTTAGTTGAACAAAACTAAATTGTTTCGTTTTCACTTTGCATATCTTGAACATCATCATGTTACATGTTGATTTGCTGTTCATTCTCTGGCGATAAATTTGAACCTTACCTGCCATTCCCATGTACTTGAAAAAGTGAGCATGCACACGAAATTTCATACCTTGAATAAACCTTTGTTGGTCTTAAAGGTGCCACTGGACTCTAAAATTTGTTCTACTGCTGACCAACAGGATCTGTCTTTTATTATGACATCTGAATAAGGCTTATATGTTGTATTTTAGTATACTTCTTTTGAAATTCTGAGCTATGGATTTGTGTTACAGAACAAAGCTCACCTTCTGTAACTATTCTTTATAGATTGCAGTGATACTATCTCCCAAGTGAAAGCCATGAAGATTCTAAAGCGTTTTGGCAGCACTGCTGGTCTCTGGACCAAAGACCCCTTAGGGAATTCAGAGAAGATCTATGTGTTTGATGGCACCAGCAACGATACTGTGTATGTCTTTCCCAGGATGAGAGAATTCACACTCTTTTCTGCTACTCGAAAAGCAGCACGTATCAGGCTACCCTATCCATGGGTAGGCACTGGACACTTGGTATATGGAGGCCATCTTTATTATATTCGGCGGCATGGAACATTCCAGGTCATCAAATTCAGTTTGGCCAACAAAACTATTGTTGATAGCTCTGTCTTCCCTGCGGAGGAACAGATCCCTGTCTTTGGTCTTTCATTTTACAATTACATTGAGCTGGCAGCTGATGAGGAAGGACTCTGGGCCATCTACGCCACACAAGAGAATGAGAAGAACATTGCACTGGCCAAACTAGACCCTGCGTCTCTAGACATTGAGCAAATGTGGGACACACCATGCCCCCGTGAGAACGCTGAGAGTGCCTTTATCATCTGTGGAGCCCTCTATGTGGTGTATAATACCCGCCTGCCCAGTCGGTCTCGTATCCAGTGTGTCTTTGATGTCAGTGGCTCTATGTCATCTGAAGATGCTGGCCTGGTCTATTTCCCCAAGCGGTATGGCTCTCACTCCAGCATGAAATACAGTCCCAAAGAGAGGCAGATATATGCCTGGGATGATGGCTATCAGATCATCTACCGTATGGAGATGAAGAAGAAGACCGAGGTCTGAAAAAGCCCAGGGGCTCTGTTGGAGAGGAGGGACATGTTTCTGTGACTCTGCCACCCATTCATGCCAAGTGGCATTGTGGCATGTTCAGCTCCAGAGAAAATCTGCAGCCACCGAAAGTGGCAGCTTGAGTGTTAAAAAAGAGAGAAAGATGTCTTCACATTCATCAGTTCTTGACATGAAGTGTGTGTGTGTGTGTGTATACAGTGTATATATACAGTTGTAACTGATTACAACTGTTCTGCAAATTACTGGATGGGATGTATTAACAGAAGATATTTACTTTCTTTTTTAAAAGACTAATTTGGTTTCAACAAGTTAAGCAGAAAAACAACTGAACAATGACAACAAAAGAAAGGCATTTTCCAATAGAAATGCAGATAATTTCTTTTGTTAAAAAAGGACATTTAAGTAGAACAGAAATTATCTATATCTTTTATTGAAACTATCATTCTTTTTTGGTTTTAGCTAAAGTAAAACTGAAATAGCCTTTTAAAATTAAAATTTCCTATCTACTTCACACACACACACACACACACGTATGTTCTATACAATAACTTGCAGAACACTTTTAACCAAACCTAGTTCCTAGAGAGGGATACATATCCCCAGATTTTCCCTATAACTTAGAAATCAAGCTGGCATCTCCCAACTAGAATTGCCAATTCTGTAGACTTTCCCGTCTGCAAAAACACAGCCCAGCAGGATTTTCAATTCATTGCCCATGTGGGTGAGCAGGCAGGCATTCATGACTCCAAGGCCAGACAACTAGAGTTTGCACTGCTATAAAAGATATTCCCAGCGGCTTCTGTTAATTTAACAAGAGTGTAAAACATATTGTTCTTCTTACTTTTTCTGCCCTTCAAAAGGAACTTGTGTTTCTGGGAACTCAGATGCTATAATTGGGCAGTCCAGGTGGCAGTTTCCTGCTTAGTTGTTGTACCTTATTATTTTTCTTGTTATTTTTTAATGTCTCCTCTCAGTGAATCCAAGGATGTTTGTTTCAGACATTTTTTCATGCATATGAAAAAGTAGTTGCTGCAGCTCCTCATTGTGAGATCTGCCCCTGATTTGCAATTTACCTCTGATTTTCTACGCACAAAACTTGGTTCCTTATTAAAGAGGCACTAATTCTGTGATCAGTCTAGGCAAAGATCTATTGAGATGGAATTGTCCTAGGACTTGCAGGAAGAATCTCTCTCAAAAGGAAATCAAGGCCACATTTAGTCCTTGCCAGCAAATTGGAGTTTAACTGAAGGCTTCCCAAACCAGGAAGCTTTCAATCACATTTCATGTGGGAAAAGAGACAAGAGGAGTGAGGAGGGTATGAACATGGCAAACAAGTTATGTTTATGCCAGTTATGAGGAAACAAGATTTTGGGAAGTGAATACAAGAATCTGCTTTATACTGAATCAAACTCTTGATCCATCAAAGTCAGCATTGTCTACTCATACTGGCAGCTGCTCTTCAGAGTCTCAGGTAGAAGTCTTTCACATCACCTACTGCCAGATCCTTTAACTGAAGATGCTGAGAATTGAACTTAGGACCTTCTGCATGCCAAGCCAGATGCTCTACCACTGAGCACACTGTAATATTTCTTTAGTCCCCAGGATTCAATAGCTGTTGTCTCTCCTCCCTCCCTTGAAGGTCAATGATAATGGACTGTATTTTTGAGCTGCTGGAATCCTGTATCTTCATACTTTGGGTAGACCTGTTTCTTCATATATGTTACATACTAATTACACCACTAGATATATTTTTTTTTTAGTCCCAGCGTCACTCTCTCATGTTGTCTATATTTCTCTCCCTGTTTCTTAATTTCTGCAAGGAATACTGTGAATGCTGAGGACTGGCTGCATGTTTTTGTAGGTTCTCAAGCAAGGAGACTTTTTGACTGTCTTAGGTTATATGTGTGTTATATGCATGTTTCGCAACATACCCTTGAGGGGCAAAAGGGGCATGTTCTCACTTCACATCAGACTCTGCCAGTCTGAAACAAACTACACTTCTTCTGATCATCCTGGGCTGTTCAGTCCTAAAAACACGTACCAGGGGAGTAAGCCCCATGTTTGCTTACTTTGCTGAGTAGGAATTTGATTAGACCTACTTAGGATTGCTCTTTATAGCATCTGTGAGTCAAGATGTTCCCTTATGTATGCTAGGCTCATCGGTAAAACAGGCTACAGCTGCATCACTGTGCTTTCTAGCTAGTGTCATGCACTAACATTTGCTAAGAACATTTCTTTGGGAGAGCCCACAAACCACAAAATGTGTCTTTTAAAAATTGTATTGATTCCTCCCCAAAAGTTTTTAATATGCTGTAATAAAAAGTTTCCTTGATAGCTGATGGATTGGTTTCCTAGCACTACAGGTGTTACCATGCTGCACATTATCACTTGGCAAGAAATCCTTAGAGAAGGGATTTACAGAAACACTATGTTTTGAACATTACTATTATACCAAGGAATTCTCATCTTTCCTGTTGCTTATGTACTTTGCTCCAGTAGTGACACAGCCTTTCACAGAAAACAGGGGGGTTTCTTTCCCCCCAGGTAAGTTCACAGGGAAGTGAATAGGCCATACTTTGTCCTTCCTTTGGGATGCCTACAGCCTTCACTCCTACCTCTTACTCTCTCTTCTTGTTTTATTTATACTCCTTTTTAAATACTATTTGTACTTATTTATACTTATTCTCTCCATAGGAACCCAAAACAAACTACAGCATCATTCTCCCCTTCTCCGTTTTACCCTCACAACAGCCAGTGACATAGTTTAGGCTATGAGAGAGTGATGGGCCCAAAGTTACAATGGCAGAGTGGGGATTCAAACCTGGGTCCCTAAGCACTGCATCACACTGGTCCTTGTGTCAGCCTGTCAAGCCCTAGAATTGAACACGGTGTTGCAAACATAATCAGTTTAGGTGACAATGGTGCAAAACAGCTTTTAAATTGTACTAAAACCCACCTGAACAAAGACACCTCTCAGACATTCTCCCTTTGACTATATAAAAGCCAGCAGTTAACTCCAGCTTTAAATGGAATACACAAAGGACAGAAGAAGGATGGGGCAGTTCTTACATTTACAAAGCTGGAACACATAGGAAAAGAGATGGGAGAACTGAGCTTCTCCAATGTCCAACTCACTAGTATGAATGGTGGTAACAGACTGAAAATGACTTCACAGTGGTGCGAAGATAAGCATGTTGCACAGGCTGTGAGCATAGGGTGGGGAACAATGCACGAGCATCTTTGGATATATATGGCTGTATGTAATGCACCCGGAATATGGTTGCAGATCACCATCAGCCACTTGCCATGGTGTGCACATGATCAGTCTGGAGGAGACCATCGCTCCCCTGAAATGTACATAAACACGGGGAAGCCTTACGTGTAGTGCATATTTCCCTCAACATGTGCTAAAGACAAGCAGCATGATAAGTCAAGCACATCATGGAAAGTTAGTCATAGAATATAGATGTGGGGTGGGTGGGTTGTAGACTCCCAGGATTTAAAACGTCACTTTATTTGTATTTATGTAGGTTGTATCAAACCTTTCAAAGAACACAGAGGCTTTTCTTGCAGGCATTGTGTTAACAATGCATTTTCCTTTGCTTCTCTGATAATGCTGTGAAGAAAGGAAGCAGCCACAGCATTACACCCCCACCCCCCTGGGGAGAAAGGACTTTTGAGAAATGCCTGTTCACATCTATCAAGTCTTGGCTTGAATATCTCCATTGTCTTCAAAACACAAACATAAATGGAAGACGATCTGCAGCCAGCTGTACTTTTGCTTGTTCAATCCTGACAGGGATGAGCCGGAGAGGCAAAACAGACTAGCTGCTTTAGCGGAAGATTGAGGGGTGAACGGTCCCTTCACAAATCCTGTATGATGTCAGTTTGCATAAGTCTTCACAAGAGTCAGAGAAGCAGAAACCCCCAGTCCAGAAAAGTTAATGCAAATAAGCAGAGAACCAAATGGTGTGATGGTGTACACACACACACACACACAAACCTGAATTGGAAGTGATTGATGTCCAGTTAAAATACTGATTGGACTTAAAGGTACTGGTGTGTGTGATAAAAATGGACTTGCTGCCTTGCAGCTAGAAGAACTGTTTCAAAGGAAAACATCTTGTACACTTTAGACAAAACCCCAGCAGAAGCTTTCTGGGGTTTCTTGGCCAGCTGGCCCATCAACTTCTCCAAGTTTTACCGGATTCCAAGTCTGACTGGAAATTCATAAGACAGAGATTTATACAACAGCTGGTTGCTGGCTGGCTCAGTTCCAGGAAATTCCCAGCAAGTATGGAGACAGAGAAGTGGATTACTTCTTTGGTTTGCCCCAGATTCTGGGGTGTGGTGGGGAATAAATAATTCTTCCCTTAAAGGGGCCTATAAGATTAATGAGTATAAACAATTAGTTCCTTTTTAGTCTAGGGAATACTAGCTGTAAGGGAAAAAGTGGATGGTACCTTTCTGCGGGCCCAGTATTGTCTAGGATCTACTTTGCAGTTCTTTGAAGCTCTGCCCTTTATTTGCTTTATTCCAGTTTTTGTGAGAGCTGACTGTGATTACTCAGTGGTGACAGAAAGGTACTCTGCACATGCTCAGAAATAGTCCTATTGCTTTTCATATCCCATGGCTGAAGCCTGGCACCAAAAACAGATCTGGGGGATGCTTTTATGAGACTTAGTTCAAATTAAATTCTTTAACAGGCAGATGAAAATCTGCTAGAACTCCTTTAGAAGTTAGAGGTGTGACCTAACTTCTCTTTGAAGCAAGAGAATCATTGGAAGTGCTGGCAGATCCAACAGATGCTTGCTACATATGGGGGTGGTACTGCTGTGAGGAGGTCAGTAGGGGCAGCCAAGCCACACAGAGCAGGCAACAGCCCAGATATGGGCCAAGATAATGTTGGTAGACTACACAATATGGGCAAGTTCCTCAGTTTATGATCCAGAAATCTTTCAGTATGCCTGCTGGTCATTTGCTAGTTTGCATCGATGTATGCAGTTTTCCTCTGATCTGGATAGGCCAGGTTAGCCTGATCTGATCAGATCTCAGAAGCTAAGCAGGGTCAGCCCTGGCTAGAATTTGGAAGGGAGACCACCAAGGAATACCAGGGTTTCTATGCAGAGGCAGGGAATGGCAAATCACCTCTGAAGGTCTCTTGCCTTGAAAACCCTACAGCAGGGGTGTCAAACTAATTTGTAATGAGGGCCAGATCTGACATAAATGAGACCTTGTTGGACTGGGCCATGCATGTCATAAAATGTAATGCCAGGTAGTGGAGATATAAACTTTATAAAGGACACAAACACAAAGGGTTTTTTTTACTTAAAATAAAAACATGCTTAAAACATTAGCACTCTGGCAATACTTTGTTTATTTAACAGTGTCTGATAACTGACACCTCTTGCTCTGAATTATTGCATCAAAATGTCTGTGCTGTTGCAATCTTGAGTATGCTGTTCAGGTGTGTATCTGTAAGCTGCAAACAATGACACAGCAGCAGCAGAACTGGAAGAAGCAGCAGAAGACAGCCAGTTCCACTGCGGGCCTGATAGAAGCCCTCTGGGGGCCTGATCTGGCCCCTGGGCCTCATGTTTGACACCCTTGCCCTACAGGGTCACCTTAAGTCAGCTGTGACTTGACAGCACTTTCTGTTGGAAGTGGAGGTGCCCACCATAATGCAGTTTTAATAACCTAAGCATTACCTCTGAAGCTGCTCCTTTTACAAAGTCAGATAGGAAAAAACAACAGCAACAACAGCAAAAGCCCCAGTCGGACTGCTTTAGCAACAGGCCATTCCAGTCTTACTAAACTGCTGAGAAGTTCTGCTTAACTTATTATGCAATGGCCATGGTCATGCTGCATCTGTAGTCCAGGCAATATTGCAAGACCTATTTGAGTAATAGTCTTTTTTTTTTTTTTTTTTAGTAAACAGTCCTCATGTCCCCTTTTCTCTCTTTCTGAGTGGGGAAAAAAGTCCTCTCTGAACTCTGGCCAAAGAGGGGGAGTGGATGGATCCAACTCACATGGCTCACAACTCTCTTTTTCTTCTCCTTTGTTATCCCTCCCCCCCTTTCTGGTAACTTAGAGCTATGTCCTTTTCATGACCCAGATAATTCTACCCTTGCAACAGAACTAACACCAGACGCAAGCTGAAATCTTTCTGCAGCTATTTAGCTATTTTGCTTGGCTCAATAAAAATCCCTACAAGGTTGCTGAGTCCTTGCCGAGAGGCATGTGCATGTCTACTGGGTACGGGACTTTCATGTGCATGTCTACTGGGTACGGCACTTTCTACGTCTTTCCTCCACCAGTCTCTTCTCTCACCTACTGTGGGGCAAGTTAAAGTTTGGTTGAGCATAGCAGGTGCTGGCCAATGGAAAGCAAGAGGTCTGGAGTAAAATTAGGACACAAGTATAGCTGCTGTAGCCTGGCTTGATGCCCT